CCCTCCTCCCCAACACACACATAACCCCACTTCCCCAAAAAACAACAAACAACAGTATATTTTTATATGGTCAATGACAGTCCTAAACCTGTATAAAGACAAAGAGAAAAATGTAAACTAATCCTTTTCTTTCACATTGTGATCTAATACTAATACTGACATAATTCCACTCCACAATGGTTATATCCTTAGTGTAAATCTATGTTCCATTCCCAGATCTTGTCTCCCTATCGGGAACCCAGTTACTAGGTACACGATATCCGCGAAGCAAATATTATGAGTTCAGAATCTAATTTTAGCTTGTATTGGCTTCGCGGATTTATCAAACTATTCTCCCAGATTTGACTATTTGCAATAACATTTCGCGTGTTTTTTCTCCCGAATACAACAGGAAAATGGTCAAAGGAGCAATTCATGAGTAAATATTGGCCAATCAGTTGAAATATAATGCCACAAAATAAGGGAATGAAATCAATGTGCCGTCGTAAAAGAATAATTCTAGCTAGTATACGTCTAGCACTAGGTACATATAGCCATGGGAATGCTATTCAAGCTGAATGAGAGTAATCGAAGGATTGAAGTCAGAGATGGACCGATAGTTTATTCCTGAATATAATTAATTAGCAATTCTCTTTAACCTGTAGGCGTTTTTTTAAAATAATGAGCGCGTGAAACTTTCCGCCTTCTTGTTGGTATAGCCAAAGAAATCAGGGGATTGATAAGGAATCGAAAGCAACTTGTTTTGCTTTTGTTTAGATGCCTTCAAGCCTTCAAGAGAATCTGTTGTGTTACAAGTTAGATCTAGAATCTATATTGCTCTGATATAAGCTAAACAAGAAACAGGTGAGTAGTAAGTAGTAAAAGTAAAGTAAACGACCCATCTTCTGAGACTATGTTTGCTAGATTTGATCAATGCAACGACGTGCATACGCTTTTCTTTTCCTGTTTAGCCCAGAATCTAAGTTTATTAAGGCTGAGGGGAAAACTGGTGTCTTCTTCGCGGCCTGCCTCTCGTTCTTATAATCTTAGACTCTACTCTAAGTTAGTGGGCCCTACAAGAATGGCAAGATGACCGAAATTGTTGTCGACAAGTATAACAAGCTTATTTATAATTAGATGTTATTTATTATAACTTCATAGAAGGAGGACTTCCGTGCCGTAACGAGCGACCACTAGAGACTATGAAACAGTCTAATTCTAATAGAGGGCAAGGGACCGCAATTGTACAGGAGTGCTGGGTTAGGGGTAGGGGTAAGGTTAGGGTCAGGGTTAGGGTTAGGTGTTGGTCTCTTCTTTATTTTGTTTGTTAGGGTGGTGGCAGACAGAAGTTTGTGCAAATTCATTTAGTTGATTTAGGCCTACTTTTTTTTGGTAATGGCACCTGCTATTCGGACTCGAGTCTGAATAGACTCCCATGGCTGGCGGACTCAAACTCCATGCGTGTACCGGATGTGAAGCGGACATGCAAGTTGACCTTGTTTTTCCTCGGTTTCTAGGATCTGGCCAAAGTTTTCGACACAAAAAATTATTAGAAAAGTATTAGTGACGCCAAAAGTGAACAACAGTTGCAAAATTATCTGAAATACTACACAACGAAGGCAAACATGAGATTTTGGGAAAAAAAACAATACTTTTCCATTGGTAAGCGATTACGCAACCTAAATAATTTAGAAAAAATATTTAATACTTGGTAAATTCTCATTTATTTTTTCTTTTGTACTTATTGAAAGAAACTTGCTGTTACTCTGATAGGGTCTAAAGTCTAAGCTCAATAAGCAGTGAAAAAAAATTGAATATCCAAGTTTCGAAACAACAAAGGATTATCTATCAATAGGTAGTCTAAACCCGTTTTATTTGACAAGAAAGACAAAATCATTTCTCGATCGATTGGAAATCCCGTTAAAAATTTTTAAGAAGAGAAAAAAGTTAAAACCCTTCCAAAGGGAACAAAAGCCAGTTATTCAAAGTAATGCGCATTGGAGTTTGAGTCCGAATAGCCACGGGAGGCTTTCAGTTTTGATTTGAGCTTAAGGGGAGGAGCGACCCTTGATTTAGCAGATTTTGGGTCAGGCTGTGCACATTTTATCTTTGCTGATTTTTGAAGATCAATTTAACCAGTTTTTTGTCTAAAAATAGCATGGATACAATTGAGAAAGACTTTATTCTCCAGGTAAATTGCCTTTAAAAACTTAAGGATGGATTAATATAGTGAATTTTCACAATTATTGTCGGTTTTTGCAAAATGGTTGGTTTTGTTTTTCATTTTTTTCACTACTCCTTCCTTAGTTTTCATCCTTTTGTCAACAAACTTTTAGGAAACATAGATGGCAAGGCTGCCACCAATATAAAAGAGATATTTGGGGAAAAAAATAATACTTTTCCATTGGTAAGCGATTACGCAACCTAAATTTAGAAAAAAATATAATACTTTGGGTAAATTCTCATTTATTTTTTCTTTTGTACTTATTGAAAAAAAATTGCTGTTACTCCGATAGGGTCTGGTTCAGGTATACTCTCACCTAATTTGGTCAAATTTGGTATGTAAATAAGAAAGCCGTAGGGATATGAAATTCATTGTTTATTTTCAAGATGGTGGCTGTTTCCATATCAACCGCTGTAGCTATACCAAAATAGAATTGCGGATCAAGAGATTTTACTATGTTTAACTTACATGTGTACTTAAATTTGATCTCGGGCAACAAACATAGAAAATGGTCCTCAAGGGCAGCTCCTCCCGTTAAACTCTTCAAAAGAACTGAACGCGTCGCCAAGTTTCAACGAGGAGCCAGCGTCCGCCATCTTGAAAATCAAAAGACAGGCTCCAACCCGGAAACCGGGGGGGGCGTCAAAATTTTAAAAAGATTAAACAAATGTGGAAGCCGTGGGTGGGTGGGTGGGAGGCAGAATAATGACCAGATTATTCGAATTATTATATTGGCACCGCGGGGGCAGAATAATGACTTCCAATTATAAGACAAGCCCTTCTTCACCCCGCCCCTTTTTCTCTTTCTGTGCATGCATTTGTGTGTGTGAGTGTGTTAATATACACCCTCTGTAATTATAGCATCACATATATAAATTTGTAAATTGAATTATTAGTAGACCTAGCTGGATGCAACATGCGAAGCATTAAATTTGATATCAGCGTCATTGTTCCTTTTTTTTTCTTCTCAAATGGTATTTAGAGAAACAGACTTAATTACCCAGAAGATGGCTGACGGTCCGTCTCCAGCAAAAAAAGCAAAAACTGACTCATCAGACTTGCCTGAATGCCCTTATGGTGCTCGATGCTACCGTAAGAACCCCCAGCACTTTAAGGAATTTTCTCATTCTAAAGACAAGGATGAACCAGCTTCTACTTCAGGAGCGAAACCCAACATTGATGACAGTTCTCTGCCTCCATGTAAATATGGAGATAAATGTTATCGTAAAAACCTTCTCCACTATGCTGAGTTTTCTCACCCTACGTCGCATCCTATCAAAGCTGCCTCGGGAAGTGGTGATGACACAGATGTGTACGATTCAGAAGAAGAGAAGGTAAGACTGCTTGCTGCTTTTCACCTTCTCAATGACCATTCCATAATCTGATTATGTTTCTTTTGACCCTGGTAATCCACAGCTGTTATATCAACCTAATTTATGTCTCTAAAAGCAGGATCTGCAAAATACTAAACCTCTGGAAATAAACAATTAAAGCTGCTAGGGGCCCATCACAAGCTAAAAGATTACAAAAAAGCCTGAACAAATTTCTTGAGTTGGGGCTTTTCTTCGATCTATTTTTTCGCTTAAATTTTAGCCTCCAGAAAGTGTTAAAGAAATCTCCTGAAAATGTTGAAGAATCCTCTTTCGTTATTGACATAAAAAAATGTGTGTGAATACCCATCTGTATCTGAAAGAATGCACTTATACTACATATTTGTGTAACTTCAAAACAAACAATAAGGACAATGCAATCACTTTTCAACTCCCTCAATCCAGGGAGTTTTTCCCGAAAATGTACCCAGAAACCGATCATTTTGGCACTTATATAAAGGCCCCCTAGTAGCCATGAATATCATCCAATTGCTTTGAAATTTAGAACAAAGTACAGTCAAACCTGCCCTGACGGCCACCTCTATAAGACGGCCACCTGTACAAACGGCCACTTTCCATTTCCCCCCTTGCGTTTTTTCTATGTAATTTAACTGTGTAAAACAGGCACCTGTCCAACGCGGCCGCGGCCACCATATTTTACCACACAACCCCTATCACACTAAGCAATAACACCTGTCTTAGACGGCCACCTTAGTGACTCCATTACGTTTTGTTATAAATTGTGCATTGGCACATGGCGTTGTAGGCGAGCCGTCATAATTCAATCACCTGTCGTTTTTGTTAGGTAGTCCTTCCAACCGATCACAGTTGCGTAGGCCCCTCCCACTGTTGACCAATAGCTACCAATTTTCAGCTGCTGGTGAGGTAAGCGTGTGATCCCTCAAAACCCATAAACCCCGCCCAGAACTCATACACAAATCGTAAGTGAGATGAATGGTGACTGTTTACCCAGTCTGTAACAAAGTTACAATAGGACGTCAACATGAACTTGTGACAGAAGCTTCGCTCGTTCTCCGAGCGGTGGCGACCCATGTGTTTGTTTTAACATTGCACTCGGTCTTCCTTGTCTGATACATTTCGTTTTATTGCCACTCTTGTGCAAAATCAGCAACAAAATACAAATTACAAACAAAATACAAACCACCACCACCAACAACAAAAACAGCAACAATGGGGCTACTTTCGATTGGGACCTCAGATGGGAATGGGTCATTTTCTTCATCTTGATCAGTCCTGCCTAAGACGGCCACCTGTCTTATACGGACACTTTTCTCCTTGACAATGGGTTGCCCTTTGACTGTACAACCTACAATAGAACTTTAGACATTTAATCGAATTTGAAGTATGTAGCTTTTGAAGTTTTGCATTGGGGTGTTGTACAAATTTGGTATTTTAGGGGGCTTTTTTTTTCATGGCGGAATGAGCAAGGGCATGCGTACGTTGATATTCAAATATATATATGCTTGTCTTTCTTCTTCTTCTTCGCTCTCGATGACAGCAGCTAGACAGTCAGTCCGATGTTGCGTACAAACTGTGTAGTTCGCTTCAACTATGCTTGTGAGTGTCTATATATTATATTGTATTTGTATGTCATGTATCATCATCATTGCCTTTTTCACCTTGGGTCAGGTTATAGGCCACGAACAAACACTCTCCACCTTTCCCTATCCTGGGCTAGTCGCTTGATGTCACTCCACGTCTTCCCACTTTTCTTTACATCCATTTCCGTGACTCTTCTCCCGGTTCCATGAGGTCTTCCCCTTGATCTTTTACCCTGTGGGTTCCAATCTAACACTTTTCTTGTAATGCAGCTGTTTGACTTCCTGAGAGTGTGTCCAATCCATCTCCAACGTCTTCTTCTCACCTCATCTCTGACCGGGCTCAGTCTGGTTCTTCTTAATACTTCCACGTTGGTGGTCCTGTCTGTCCATTTGATCTTCAGCAGCCTCTTCAGACACTTGTTCAAGAAAACCTGGATCCTCTTTATGCACGTATGGGATGCGTTTCACGTCTCACACCCATACAACTAGACTGACTTCAGACAAAAGAACAAACTTTAAGATGACACCCATATAACACCACATGCCCAAAAATTGATGAGCGCCTGATTCCACCGTGTCGTGACATATATTATTTTAGATTCTGCTGAAATCAATTTGAAGAATTATGTTGAAATAGGTTTTTTTATATTTCTGGTAAGCAATTTGAAAAATTCAAATGTCGTCAAAGTGATTTTTGATGCAAAGAACATATTGTATTGCTTCATGTTAATGGTTTTGTGGTTAGGCTGCTGGGCTCACAATTGAAAGGTTGTAGGTTTAAACCCTGTCAGGAATTGAAGTTGTGTCCTTGGGAAAGGCACTTTACACACATTCTCCTCACTTTACCAAGGTAGGAGTGGGTCCCCAGCTATAGACCGTAAAAGCTCATGTCAGTTAGTTAGTGTTAGAGTGCTTTAACTGATTCAGCTGGCAGATAATTTTGATTCTAGCCACAAATAATTTATGACCGCTTCGTGACCTCAAGGGTGATCTTACATAAAGTTAATAAAGAATATCTAAATTTGATAAAACCCTATGTGTGCGCCATATATATCGAAATGTTCAGAATACTATTCAATGACACCAGAAAAACAGGTTAAAATGTAAGTGGTAGGGGAAACAGAAGAGAGGAAACTGATGTGAAGAAAGCAAGCAGTAGATAACAGCAACCCTGAGAGGCTCTGCTTCAGAATAGGCCTGCAGGAGACTGTCAGCGGCTGTGAGCGGCGCTGTGGGCTGAATCCGTTAATTGGCTGCTTGAACTACATACTTTCCCAGTTGGCCTTCATATGAACCTTGTGCAGTTGCGAGCGCGGTAAAACCTCTACTAAAACTAAAACTAAATACTTTCCTGGGAGCCAAAAATGTTTCAGTGTTGTAGGGTCCACTGGGGTAATAATAGCTGTAAAGTGCATAGAACATGCTGTTAAGTGGAGGTATGGGCTACACAAATGCCATTTATTATATTATTATTATTGTTTTCTCTGAATCTGTTTTGTTGACCAATTTTTTTCTCAAAATGCTTACAGGATGAAAAAAAGGGTTCAGAGAGCAAAGATATCATCAGCAAAGATCTATCTCTGGTGAAAAGATTCTCACAGTTGACTCCAGAGGAGAGGAAAGAATTGATTAAAAGAGCCTTTGAGGAGAAGCAGAAGCTACAGCAGGAGTTGGATGGAGCAAAGAAAATGGTAGAGAAAAAAGACAAAGAGCTCAACCACATGCAAAAACAGGCAAGTTCTTGTTTTCCCTTTTTTTTTTTTAGACAAAGAGTTCCTCGTCAGTCCAAATTTTAGAGTGTAATCTATATAAAGAAATTCAAAGTAAAAAATTTTATTATCAGTTGTAGGGTAGGAAAAGGTGGTGGGTAAAAGTTTTATGTGTTGTGTCAAACTAAAGAATAAACCACAGTTCTGGAAACACTGTGTGTACGTTTTTTCACTTATCAGAACTTGTAAGAGGACAATAATAAGACAGTAGCTCATGTTGCCATAATTTTTCTGTGTTAGAAAGTAATTAAGTTATAAGGAGTACAAAAGAAATACAGCAGAAAGTTTAAGATATTGCTATGTATTAACAAAATAAAGCAAACACTGTTTTATTTTCTTTTAATACTTTTTTTTTCCCAGCTGAATAGTGGTCTTTTGCTAATGGAGGGTGAGGAGGAGGCAATGAAAAAGAACACGACCACATATTTTGAACTTGTCGCTGAGAGGTCATACAAGGAAGGGTCTGCCAGTCAGTTTCATTTCAGGCTGGCGGAATCTCAGTTTTACAGGCTGCTGTCTGGTCCGGCCTCTGCTATGTAAGCTTTGAGTACTTTTTATTAAACTGGCTTGCTCTATAAAAAGTCGTCTATTGGTAATTGGTGTAAAACAACCAGTCGCTGGAATATAAACAATTTTGATCGCCAAGTGCTTGTGTCATTTTGACAATCCAAACATTTTGCATTAATATGGTGTTCATAAGGGTCAAGTTGTGGATTACGGGGAGTTTGAATAGATTCGCAAACATAGAACTTGAGATATCCTTTGTTTAAGGTGGTCAATGGATGAATTACACCCTGTCACTGCGAAAAGGGTTAATGTTATATTCAATGTAGCAAGAAAGTGAAGGTTTTAAAGACTTTCGAATGTATAAGTATTCGATCCCTTTTTCTTTCAGGACTCGAATAGTTCGTGTTGAATATGTGGTCACTCCGCACGTGGTAAAAAAGTTTAGGTATGTATAAGTGTTTATCTTTTTCAATGTTTCACAAGTTTTAATGGTGATGAACTGGTTTTTCGACTGTTTAACTTATGAGGAGTCTGTGGGGAAAATGGATAAAGTGACAGAATGGAACTCATGAACCATTTGTTTATTGTTTTGTTTTTGTTTGATTTCCCATTCAGCTAACAGATAATGTTGTTGTTGTTGTTGTTTTCAAATCCCTTTAGCTGCGAGCATTTCGCACTTGGCAGCGCAATGCCTCCCTCAAGTAACCAAATGTCCTTGTCATCTGGTCAATGCCAGAGTAGAGCAGGCTTTGTAAGTCTGTAGGTGTGTGTAGGAGATTGCGTCGAAGAACTACCAGGTTTTGGGCAGTGAAGGAGAAGATGTTCAACGGTCTCCTCGTGGTAATCACAGTGTCTGCAATGGGGTTCCCACATGGGGTTGATTCTGTTTATGTGCTTGTTGGTGTGTAAGTGTCCTGTGCCGGCTCTGAAGATCAATGTCTGATCGGCTCTACATAAAAGATCCGAAGGGTCTTTGGGGTTGGGTTTGTCCATGTACCTGAAGAGAGATCTTCCTGTTTCTGTGTTGGCCCATCTGTTTAGCCACTCGTCTGTGCTTTTGGCTTAGATGATCCCTCTGTAGGTCTGTAAAGAGGCGGCTGTGTCTATCTGGGGCAGGCTCGCTCCAGTCTTTGATAGATGGTCTGCAGTCTCATTCCCTGGTACTCCAGAATGGCCAGGCACCCACTGCAGTGTGACCCGATTGCCTAAGGAAGTGACCCGGACGCCATATAGGAAGTGCCCATCTGTTTAAAAGTAGGAGTAAAAGCGTACAAAAAAGTAGAAAGAAAATGTACCTTTTAATTGGGATTTATGAACAGCAGGATAGTACCATTCCTCCCAGAGTCAACCAAGTCATTACCCAAGTCACTGGCCTGGCAGTGAAGGGGTGAAGATTGATTTCTTCACAATTTCCACTTTCTGATCTTGCCTGTTTTTTCCCTTGGATTACTAATGTACTATCACCCAGAATGAATACTGTTCTCATCATGAAAGTGTTAAAGCTCAAGTTAATCTTTAGCTTACTAAATTCTTTTTTTTTTTAATCTTTAAATTAAATGCATGAAGGTTGGGGGATGAAATTATAAATGTTGACAAGGTTGATGTGACAAAGTTGAAGCGAAGTGTTGAGACTTTAAAAAATAAAATCTGTTTTGTTTGAGCTGAGAGAAGCACATCAGTGCAGTAACAGTCATTTGGTGCTCGGAAAGAGTAAAACAGACAGAAACAGAAAGGAGAAAGTAAAGAATCAGTACCTAACAGTGGCACCCTCCAACCACTTGATGATTTGTGAGATGTCAAGAAAAAAAAAAAGGTCAAGTGACTTATTATTGAAGTGTTTACATTTTTAAAAAAAATACTGAGACCTTGAGTTGATATAAAATCATTTTCCTTTTCAGGCAGGCCCAAGCAGAACTGAAAAAAAAGAGAGGAGAACAATTTTCTTACCCGGTTCTTGGTTTCCATGGCACATTGGAAAAGAACATACAACCAATATGTGAGAATGGTTTCAGAGCTCCAGGTATTGAATACAGTTGTGCTTGATTAAAATTACTTTGCAGATAAGTTTAGTAGCGGAGCCACTAAATCAGTGTCTCGGATGTAGTGTTTAGGCTCTTCATCGTCGTGCGTTGAAGTCGAAAGTTTGATTCCACTCTGGAGAGGTGATTTTATTGATTTTCTGTAATTCTGTATCTTTCCCCAGGGATATTGCATCCTTCTCAGCCAGGATTGGTAATGTTGAAGTAGCCTGGCTCTTAAGCAATTTAATTTGTGTCAATTGGGTGTAAAACATTTTCAGTTACCATTACAGCCTCTAACAAATCAAAAGTAGGCTAAATGAATGAATTTTGAACTGAGATATCTAGACTGAGAGACCACAGAGCTAATGGTTTATTGTTGAGAGTTTTTACTAAAATGGAACCTCAACAGGGATAGAATCTTTGAAAATCGCTGAATTACAAAGGAGATTTTTATGCCTCAATTGACACAATTTAAATCATTTAAGAGACGGGCTGCTTTGAACCTGCCTGTCAGGGCCAACCCGGGCTGAGAGGGATACAACATCCCTGCAGACAAACGAAGATGCTCAATAAAAGAACCTCCCCTCTCGGAAATTGAACTCTCTTCTTCTGTGCGCGATGGTAAAGAGCGTGATCGCTACATCAGAGACATCGTTGCTGGGTTACACAAGGTCATGGGTTCATCTCGTAGATAATCCAATGTCATCATGATGTTACAGGTTTCAAAACTGCTTCTAAGACTTTTTCAGTGATATACAATATGTTATATTATTTCTCTGAGAATTTTCTCCTTTTTTAACACTTTTTTGAAGACATACTGCTTAAAATTTATCAGAAAGATTGAGATGGTCACATGTCCACATTTAAGGAGGCAGAGAAAGAGTTTAATATTATGCCTCAGTTGTCCCTTTTGGAGATAAGGGGAAATAAGATTAGATGAAATTGAATTAATGACCAATTTAGTGACATTTTCGTCATTTTTAGATCTAGTACCAAAAAGGGGCCTTGGCATAGTGGGTTTACCCCCTGCAGAGATAACGAGTTAAAGCTTTGTATTGGCAAGCAATGTTTCAAACTTTATGGAGCTATGTCTTTGAAATACGACTTTAATGGGAGTACTTCCATCCGATTTAGCACATCATTTTCAAGAGAAGTTTCTTAAAGCCCAAAAAACATTGTCAGGACCCAAATTGGATCCCAAAAGCTCTTGTGTGGCCTTAAGCGATACTCCTCACTTGTTGCTTACAACTGCTGTTCTTCTCCCTATGGTGGTTGTTGTTAGATGTCTGTGGTAGGTCCTTTTTTTTTCTAAACATCTTTTGTTGTTATTGATCTAGTTTCTAACCATCTTAAGTCTGTCCGTTTGTCTGACTTTTTCCCCAACATTAGATGACCATTGTAGTATCAATGTGATTTTTTTTTCTCAAACACCATACCAAATGACCATCTTTGTGTCTAGGAAATTTATCTCTGTACTCAAAACTCAAACCAAATAACCATTATTGTCCCAGTTTGCTTCTTTTCACTCAAAAGTCAAACAAAATGTCTGTTATTTTGTCAGGGTGCAAGGTTCAAGCAACGGAGAGATAATTTGGAGGTTTTAGTTAAGGGGTGTTCTTCAGTGATTACCCAGCACTAAATGCCCATTATTTTGTCAATGTATCTCTCTTTACTCAAACAAAGAAACTTGACCTCGGTGCCTCCAACTCCCCCAGGGCAGTGCCCCTGACTGAAGTGTCTTTAGGCCATTCCCAACATGATCATGCTGTGCGGGAACAACATAGGGGGAACTGCTGCTTTTTCTTTCCTCTTCCTTACTATCGTCATTTTTCCTCTACTTCTTTTGTTTGTTTGTCACTCTCTTGTGAACTGCTTTTTCCGGGATGCCTTGATAGTCAAAGCAGACTTTGTACTGTTGAGGCTAGTGAGGTGAGCAGAATAAGCCTGATTCCCTGTTTGGACTTCTCTGTTGACATCCACCCCTTGGCGCTCATATGACCTTATGCAGTTGCGAGCGCTGTAAAACCCTACTGAAACTGATGTTTCCAAGGTGAGAAAGAGTTCAAGCAGCAAGAAGATAACGGTACTTCTGTGAGTACCCAACACTAAATACCCATTATTTTGTCAATGTACTTCTCTTTACTCAAACAAACAATGAACTTGTCCTGGGTGTTTTGTAGGTGAGCAAAAGTTCAAGCAGCGTACAGATAACGGATGGTACGGTGCTGGGGTGTACTTCAGCGAGTATCCCTCCTACTCAATGGGTTACGTCCATGGGGCTTCCAAGCTGATGTTGTGTCAAGTTCTGCCCGGCAAAGTAAGTCAATGGGAGATTTCCTCCACTCTTCACGGCAATCTTTAACAAGATAAATTATTAGAAAGACACTGTCACAGATGTCCACCTGTCTTTTCTCCTCAACAGTGGGTGGCCGTCTTGGACAAATTTGACTACTGAGATAAGTAATAAACGAATTAAGTTCTGCTTTTATTGAACTCGAGGGGAAAAATTTGATTTTATGCATAATTATTGTAATTGTAGAAGTTTTGTGCCCCCATTGACTCAATTTTGGTCATACAGCAGGCGGGCTGCTCTCTAGTAAAACAAAAGTAATTATTTCTGCAAAAGTGAACAGGTCTGCTATCAAAAGGATATCGTTCCTCTTTTTAACATAAACATTTTTAGGTCGTGTAAATATTTTGAAATCACATGTAAACATAAAAAAAAATTTTGATAGCTCATTTGCTTTCTGTTTTGATTTCAGATCTACAAATGCAAGAAAATTATAGCTGGGGCAAGTCTGCAGGAGGGATTTGACTCTCATACGTCACCATGTGGCAAAGAACTGGTCATTTTCGACTCGGCTTCCATATGGCCGTGCTACGTAATATACTTCACCAAGGCAGCTCATGGAGATTTTCAATATGCCTCTCCGAGTGTGAGTTTTTAAAAAAATTTTTAGATGAGCGTGTGATAAGAAGGCGCCTCTGATAGATCCTTATTCTTTTGTTTACCACTGTTGTTTCTGTCTGACTGTGTTGCTTTAACCCTATGCGTACGTTGTGTTTTACTATCGTATCCATACGACGTGGGGAACTCTGTGCCACCACTTTCAAAGAGGAAAATTACTCGTTAATCCGATCCGTACGCTTCGCATAGCAGTCTGTCAAAAATGATTTTTTGGAAAATACTGAAAGTTTCAAATAGGTCTTCGTACTAGAAGTATTCTAAAATGTGAAGAATACAACCCTTGGGGTACAAAACGGCCCCAGGGTGTACGGATAGGGTTAACATTGTGCTAAATCATGACCATAATTATTGTGTTGATGTGCTTTTGGTAGGTTCTAGTTCTTTTTTTCTCCAGTGTTATTTCTGTCTGTTTGTCTTTCTTTTCCCAGCATTGGATTACATTATTGCATTGCTATGCTTCTCTCTCATCATCAAGTGCTAGATCTGTGACAGACCTTGGCAATCGTTATTCACCATACATTCTTTTCCTGGGATGCTCTAAAAAAAAGCTGTATTTTCCTGATCTTTCCCTGTCACCCATTTGCTTAGGCTTTCCGAGTAAGTTGCTCTGGGTATACCCCTACCTTGCTGTCCCCGGGGTTTTATGCACCTCGCATAATTTACCTAAATTTGATAATTTTTTGCATAATTTCTGATTATTCTCCTTATCCTTCTTTGTTAAAATTAACAAAATCGCATAATTTCACATTTTTGGGCTCAATTAAAATTTGCATTATTTCAGGATTTTGTTTTTGCATAAATCTGCAGGAACAGCTTGATTACCTTTAGTTTTACAAATGAGGGCCAGATGTTCAAGGCCCTCTTGTCTATTGAAGTGTCTCAGAAACAGCTGCGTTTGTCTCTTCGTACTTACATGTAAATCTGGAAGAAAATAAGAAAAACTTAACTGAGTATTCTGTCTCACAATTTATTATAGTTGGTTTATACTATTGTCTCATCCAATGCAAACCTTGCTTTTTCTCCCTCCATGCATCCCCTCTCCTCTTTCACTCCTTTCGGTTTCCCCTTTCTAATATACCATCCCATCTACCTTTCTTTCTCTCTTTTATCCCCTCTCTCTCTCCTAACCTCCCTCCTTCCATATCCTCCCTTCTTTTGTTTTTTCTCTCCCTCTGTACCACCCCCCCCCCCTCCCCTCTCACTCTCTTTCTCTCTAAGAACTATTTCCTATTAAAAACATATATATCATCCTTATCTCTCCTCCTTTTTTGTGTTTGTTACTCTCTTGTAACTTGTAATCTTTGGCCCTTATATGACTTTAATGTATTGCAAGTGCTGTAAAACTCTTACAAAAATTTCAAAAACTAAGAACACAACACCACAAGACTGAGACAACACATGGACAGATGTTTTAAGCTAGTAAATTCACCAAAATGCTAGTGTCGAGAAGCAGACCAAACTGTGGAACACATCCTCCAGCCATGCAGGACATATAGAGCCCCGAGACAGGAAAAGTGGCCAACCCCATTAACACTACCTACAGGAGAAGCTATATAATATGGCCTCAATAGAGAAACTGGCCCAATATGTATGATAGATGCCAAACTTCAAGTGTGATGCGATCTAGAAGAAGAAGAATAAAACACTGCCTGTGTGATTATAATGGTATTATATTCTGAGGATGTAATCTATACTGTTATTCTGTTCCCACAATGATCATAAACCAACCCTCAGGAAAGATAAGTAAAGCTTGTATTGTTTTCTTTTTTCTCCTCTCTTTTGATTTTGGTTTTCTTGTTCATATTTTTTTCACTTATTGTATTTTACTAGGGCAAGGTTTATGGATACAAGGATGTTGTAAATTGTCCTAGGTCAAAGTAAGTAAGACTTTTAACATTAGGTTAAATACAGTGTAATCCACTTATATCGACAGCTGATGTATCGACGTTTTTGACATATCGACATGTTTTCCAATTACGAAATTTTTCCTTCAATATCTTCACTAAACAATTCCTCCTATATAGACATTTTTACGGCCCATTCTTCTTTATCGACATGCTTCTTGGGTACCTGGCAAAACCCACGAACATAAATGGGGAGAAAAGCCTCAGTAACGCATTAGTTCTTCATTAAGTCAGCATACCCACCAAGTAGCCTATCTATCGACACACCAGGCTTTAGTAGGTCATGTAGGGCCTCCACAGTGTAGTCTCCAACACAGTACAGTGCCTCACAGACGTGAGCGTCTCGCACGCTGGGCATCATCTCCCTACCACCCACTCCCGATCGCCCACTTCCCTTCCCCATCCCATTGTCAGTCTGTCGCTGGCAAGTGCCACAGTCAGTGAGTCGGTGCCTCGCCTTTGCATTTGCCCTAGCAAGCTGCCGTAAGCAAGCCTTACAAGGATGCTACAGCAAAGCTTGGGCCTGTGTGTAATGTGCGCCTCGCGTTGCTCGGTCTTTGGTACCGTAACTCCAATCCCCCTGCCCTCTGCCTCTTGTTAGTTTCACTGTGTAGTATGTAAGAGTCAAGGGAAGCAACTAGCTTAAAAAATGGTAGTGTCTTTTTACCGTAGACTTCCCCTTGTTTTTTCCTCTTTGGCTTTATATTTCATTTATTGACAATTTTATATATCGACTTCAAATCCACTTCCAAGAGCATGTCGATATAAGTGGATTATACTGTATTTTTCTTAATTTGTAAATGCAGTTTGATAAAAAAATATTTATTGAGCTGTAATCTTTTTAATCCTGTTTTTGTAGACATTCCTCCAGATATTATATATACGTTTCAAAAACTGTTGCTTTTCTCAGTTCTAAGCTTATCTGTGATATGATAGGATAGGATAGGATAAGATGGGACAGGGCAGGATAGGATAGGATATGATATGAATATCATTATGATGTTTTAAAAAAAATACATGGGTTGTTGGCGGGTGTTCTGGTGTTGTTTGCTTCTTCTTTCCTATCAAACATCTATCGTCCTTATCTCCACCTCTTCTCTTTTAAATGTCTGTTACTCTCTTGTAACACCTCTAATCTTGTGGCGCTCATATGACCTTATGCAGTTGCGAGTGCCGTAAAACCTCTACTAAAACTAAAACTAAAATTATACAGTGGTGTGGGTGGTGGAGGGAATGGGATGTGGTCGATTGTAAAAGTGATTGTATTATACAAGTGGCCTTTAGAACAGGTTCAACAGTACTCAATAAAATGCCTCCCCCCATGAAAAGTGAAACCACGTCTTCTGCATCCAGCAGTGGTCACTACACCACTGGTGGCTGTGCTTTTGTCAATTTTAAAAAGAATTTTCTTTGTAAAGATTGTAACTCAAAATTTGATGTTTCCCATCTGAAGGATAGGTTTCTGCAATGTGTTACTGGTACCTGTTTTCCTTTTTTATTTTGTGTGTCCGGGTGGAAGGAAGGCCCCACTGGTGGTCCTAGTTCTTTTTTGTTCAACCTCTGTTGCTTCTGCCTGTCTAACTTTTCCTCACCCCTAAAATGCCGAGTGCTGCATTGGTGTGCTTCTCTTTGCTAAAAAAAAGGAGCCATTTTTGTTTCGATGTGCTTCTCTTTTTTTCAAACAAACAAACGGAGAGACAGGCAACGCCCCTTTTTTGTTATGTTACATTCGTTTTTTTCTCACAGGGTATTCAGTGGAATGATGATCACATTCTCCGGGAAAATGGATGTATCACAGGACTTACTGTTGGATCTAATTGTGAAACATGGAGGTGATGCAGGTAAAAAAAAAATATTGTAAGAAGTAAATTTCAATCCTTTCTTTCTTTTAAGAAGTTAAAAGTGTTTTCGAATGGAATCCTCAAGATCTATTTTTTACCTGAAAATTCAAACAAATTTGTCTTCTGTTCTTATTATGTTGGAATAATGTCCCTTCTGATTAACTCTTGTTAGTACTGTTCTATAATCCTACCAAAGGTCCCAAGACAGTGTCAATTCTGGAAGTGAACGGGTTAAGTGCTTTTTACAGTTATCTTTTTGATAAAGTAAACTTGAGCCCTCAAAGTGCTGAATAAATTCCAGACTTTCATCAACGGGAGTATCCTTAGAATTGAGTGTCTGGATATAATAAGAAATGAAGAGCTGTGGGAAAGGACTGGACAAAAGGATATAGAAGTAGAAAAATAGGACTAAGAAAGTTGTGATGGATGGGACACACCTTCAGAAAACCCAGCGGAAACATCACAAGACAGTCGCTGCAGTGGAACCCACAGGGAGCCCGAGATAGGCGTAAGCCACAGGAAACATGGAGGAGATATGTGGAAAGGGACATGAGAGAGATGAAGCTCACTTGGAACGAGCTTGGAAGGATGGCCCAGGACAGAGACAAATGGAAGGAGCTTGTATGTGGCCTATACCCTGCCAGGGGTGAAAGGCATTGATGATGAAACTTGAGCCCTCCATTTGGAACTTACTTGACCCACTATTCACATGTGGGATTCCCGGGCTCTGTGGGACCACATGTGTAGTAGCTGTGATGTCAGGTGTGTAAAAATCCTTTTTTATCTTGAGTGGGGAATATGGGTTAGGTCTATACAAATTCTTCGTATTATTAATTGCGCTATATTATGATTATTACATTGTAAAAATTTACGTGTTGGTGAAAATTTTGGACATCTTTTCTTCTCTTCCTTTTTTAAATATTTCTATCACCTTTGCATCCGAACAGGTACTGCTGCATATTTTTCCATACTGGTTTCTACCGAACAGGAGGTGGCAAGTAAGAAAAAAAAATGCGCTACTGCGGAGTCGAAAAAGGTTTGTTTTTTGTTGTATCTGCCATTCATGGTCTTCTTCTTGTGGCAAATTTTCTCATTAGACATCAGGTGGTTGGAGGGCATGACTGATAGGTCTTATTTATTTTTTTTCCGCTCTGTTGTTTCTGTTCGTCTGCTGTTGCGCTTATTTCTGGCATTAAAAGACCACTATTATGTCGGTGTGCTTCATTGAACTTAGATAAAAACAAACAGTCTTAGTGTATCAGTGTATGTGGTAAGAAAATGCATCAAATTTGTGAAAGTATAACATTCTATACCAACCCAAATGACGTTATGACTAGGCTATTCACCACTACGTGCAAAAGGTGGGAGTTCAATTCTCATGTGAAGAAGTCTGTTTGTATCAGTGTCTTTCTGCATGCCAGTACACTGTTTTTTTAATTTGCCTTTCAAAAAATAAGCTTAGTCTTGTGCTGATGATAAGAAGTTCACATAATGTTTCAAACTCACCTAAAAATGTGGTCTGCTCCTCTTTCATATCCAACATATGTCATCTTTATCTCTCATCCTTCTTTTTTGTGTATGTTACTCTCTTGTAGCACTTCTAATCTTCAGCACTTACATGACCTTATTGTGTTGCAAGTGCCGTAAAACACATACTACAACAGAAAAATAAAAATTCCTCTGTCAGTTTCCAAGCATAGACCGGTGTCTGTGGAGTAATGGGTTGGCTCTTTGCGCTCTTTGCAGTCGCATGCAGAGAGCGCAAGTTCGACTCTGGCATAAATGGAAGGTTTATTTTTCTGGTATCTCCTTCTGCCCTCTGGGATGTCGTATCTCTCCCAGCCTGGCTCGGCCTGAAACAACCCACCCACTAAATTATCCTAACAATGTTGATGGGTGCTTAAAACAACAATTACAGTCATGATTTTTGCCATGTGTCCCAACCAGAACAACCACTCCGAGCTTATATTATTTAATTGGGTGTGTTCTCAAGTTGAAATCAGGCACTCGTCTAAATGATGAAATCAAAGAGACCAACATTTTCAGCCCATTGGGCGATTTTTATCAAATTTTCTTTTTTTGGTTCAACTCCTTTTATGTCAATTGAAAAACATTTTTATGTTTGGATTTTACTGAAAATTCAGCACAATGTTGATCAAAGTATGGCACAAAAAGATGTAAGTATGCAGTTTCCAAGGATGTTCAAGCTTTGGAAGTTGCCAAACTTCGGCAACCATTTCTTGGCTAGTTTTTTTTTTTCTGACGCCATCCGACCCACACCTCCTTCAATCACAAATAGCTTGATTTTGATACTAGATACTTCTATGCATTTCTGATAAATAAGCTTCAAGATGATACCCAATAACTCGATGCTATATATACCCAAATATTGACAGGCACTAGATCCCACCATTTCATGACACATATCATGCTCTTTTTCTTCTTTTTTTGTCCTCTAAACTCCAATAAGCAGACAGGTGAGTGGTTGGAGGGCACCACTGGTAGGTCCTGCTTCCTTCTTTTCTTTCGCTCTATACTTTCTGCCTATATGTTTTACTTTTACCCAGCACTAAATGACCGTTATTGTGTTAATGTTCTAATAAGAAAACATGCCTTGTTTTTGTTTCCATCCAGATTCCCATCGTTCCGCTGGCATACATCTATAATTGTATCATGGCTGGGAAACAACTGTCTTTTGAGGATATGCGGCTATCTTGAAGTTGAAATCTTTGCAAAAGTTTGAACAAATATTTGTGAATATGTATATAATATAAGATTCTGCATACGCGCTTTGAAATTGTGCTCTCTCTGGACAAAAGGTCAGTGAAAGAAGGAGAATTTCTTCGAGGACAATTTTCTTAAAGAATCTGGACATTTGTGTGATGGGAAAAGACCAGGATAAAAGAGATTTTTTGAGAGCATCTGTGCAGAGGAATGAGCTGTGAACCATAATTGCCAATGTCTGTTTCAGGTCGAATACTTTAACAATATGTATGTGTAGGAACAAGTGGCATTTTTTTTTGTACTTCATCATCGTCATTGCTTTTCTCACCGTGGGTCAGGGGATAGGCTACAGACAAACACTTTCCACCTTTTCCTATCCTGGACCAGCCTGTTGATATTATTGCATGTTTTCCCACTTTTCTGTACATCATTCTCTCTGACTTTTCTCCAGGTGCAGCATGGCTTTTTTGTACTTGCAGTACTTAAACAGAAGAAATTTTAAACCAGCTTCTGTGTTGTAATTATTATACACTTTATTTTCGCTCGCAGAAGATGTGAGTTTAATTCTTGTGTGGGGAAAGTATCTTCATATGTCTGCTGAGACATAATTGTATCCCTCTCAGTCTTGATTGGCCCAGACAGGCAGGGACAAAGCCACCTACATCCTAAATGATCTAACTTGTGTTGATGGGGAAGTAAAGTATCCACAATTATACTGAAGCCTGGGAGCTGTATGCTGAGGAGTAAACTCAAGTGTGTGCAGGGGTTCAAGTAGGTGGTTGATAGATCAGACGTTCTTGTGTGGGTTGCTCCTTCTTTCCTATCAAAGCATCTTCCGGCCGTATTTCGCCTTCTTGTTTTCTTTGCATGTTACTATCAAGTAACACATCTAATATCTTCAGCATTTGTATATGACCTGTTTGTGTTGCCAGTGCCATAAAAGTCTTACTAGATCTAAAAGCTAAATGGGCCCATGCTTCCATGGATTACTTGCTGTTACTTAAAGAATGGTTTTGGAACTTTGAAAGCTTTGTGTTAAGCACTATCATATCCTTGATTGCTCGGTCGGTCGGTCAGTAAGGAGGCCTCCATTTTTTACTGGAGGAGTGTACCTACATAATTGTGATTTGGAAATGTGTTCGATTTATATTATATAGATATATGTTTAGGTTGTTACTGACATCTGTGGTGAAATGGTAATGGAAAGGCTGTTCACCCTTGCATGCAGAAGATATGATTTAATTCTTGTCATCGAAAGTTTTTTTTGTACAAATGATCTGGTTCTGTCTGCTTGGATGCTGTATCCCACTCAGCCCGGTTTTGCTCTGGCAGGCATGGTCAAAGTAGAATGTCTCCTTAATGATTTAAACTGTGTCATTGGGGTTGTAAAACCTTTGAGAAAAAAAGAAAGCCACAAAAAAGATAAATGAAATAGTGATATGAAATGCCTGCCTGGTTTTTTTTGGTCAGCATTCCATTTACTATGTATATAAGATGTGCCATAACTGTTTTGTAAGTCTTTTCAGTTCTTGTATTTTAAAAAAATCTGTTGGTGGTTGGCCGATGTTCTTGTGTGGTATGCTCCTTCGTTTCTACATCTGTCGTTCATATCTCATTCTTCTGTTCTTTTTATGATGTTACTCTAATTAGTAGCACCATAAATCTTTGCTCTGCACTTTTATTACCTTATTGTGTAGCAAGTGACATAAAACTCAAAGTTAAACTGAGCTCGTAAATGTGTTTATTTTATACAATTTGTTTTTAATGAGATGTAAATAGATCTATTTGTTTTATGTGATTACTCACACAAATGTGATGACACCATCAGATGTGAACTTTGTTTTAAAAATTATTTGTAACTAGCTGGGCCCCTTTTCGATGAAAGGAATGATCGATGCATTGACATCAACTGAAAGTCATTGGCCTACTATATACTTTACTGGAGTGGAGCAATAAATCTTGAGAGAAATGTGACACTCGCATTTCCAAGTTGCCAAATATATAATAGATGTAGGTCTATAAATTGATTCCTTACTCCGCTTTCGAGGTTGTACACTCCATAATTTCAAAAGTGTGGAATAAGTGTACTGGTCAGTGAACGGAAACCTCACTTGTTTACAATGGCGTCTTAGAAGACAGGCTTTCCCAAGATTAGATCTAAACGAAACTAATGAAAAACTGAAAATTAAACTACAGGGACTTCAGGCTCCTCAATGTGTGTTTTTTTCTGTTTGTAAAAATGCATCTTGTCCTTTTTGCAAGATAATTAAATAAAAAATTTTTTTTTCAATATTGGATGTTATGATCCAAAGTACAAATTGTGTGGTAAATAACCTAAAATTCTTCAATATTTTTCAGTTCTATTCATTTATGGTTGTTGTGATGTATCATTTGACTAGGTGCGAACATATTTTTTTCAGTTTCACTAAAGATGATTAATTTTTTATTTAAAAATTTTATCCGCATCCAATCAAAATTGTGTTGCATGGTCGCATCTTACAGGAACCAAAGTTGAATTATACACAAATAAACATTACAGATGTATTCTACAAATCGTACTGAAAATTTCGGTGTATAATATGTTGATATATTTATTTGAATTTGTGGCCCCAAAGACCTTTGAACTGTGCACTAGTCGTCATCTCATTTCGACCTCCCGAAAGAAATAATTCGTCCACAAGCCCAAAGTAATGTAATTCGTAGCGAAGGAGTTAAGTAACACCTCGAATCTTTGGCTCTTATATGATGTTATTGGGTTGCACTAAAACTAAAATAAATGTCTTTATACTGTAGTGGGGTGTGTCTTTGAGCAAGACCCAATAACTACAACACCAGCTCAAAAACGAGGTTCTACGCTGTGATGGCCAGTAAGGGTTTCATATTGTTTATTATGAAATGTCAATTATTTAATGTGTGTTCTTTTATGTATGAACTTATGTGCATGTGTGCCATTGTGAACCTTTTTTTTCTCACAGAATCAGTAAAAGTGGTTTATTTGGAAATATATAAATTTTTGTTTTTAATACATAATGTTAAATAAACATTCTTTCTCAAAAGATCCTTATAAAAATCCTTTCTTAGATTTTATTTAAAATAATGATGGACCAAGGCGTGTGCGCGCTCACGCACACAGACACACACACACAGACACACACATGCGCACACACATACACACACACACACACGCTTAGTAAGAAGAGAGAAAGAAAAAGAAAGAAAGAAAAAGCGAGAGAATTGAGTTGATGTACACGTATAGATATTTATACTTTAAATAAAATGATGAACAATAGTTGGGATTATAGAGATTTAAAGGTCGTGAACTGGACACTTGAATCGAGATGAATGCCTTGAACAACTTGATTTTGCTGGAAAAAAAGAATGTTAAAAACTCATCCGTAGATCAAATTTTACACGTTATATTGACACAATTTAGATCATCTTTGACATAATTTGGATCATGCTACTGACTGAGTTGTCTTTAAACCATTCCCAAAGGGGGGACATTAACATGTTCTATTGTACAGTAGATTTGTTAATGGGCTGATTTATCAATGTTGTGCTCATACTGTGCCAGAACAGCATTGGAGAAACTGCTGCTTTTTCTTTCCTCATCCTTACTATCGTCATTTTCCTCTACTTCTTTTGTATGTTTGTCATTCTCTTGTGAACTATTGTCAGGGTGCCTTGGTAGTCGAAGCAGACTTTGTGCTGGTGAGGCTAGAGAGGTGAGCAGAGTAAGCCTGATTCCTCGTTTGGACTTCTCTGTTGACATCCACCCCTTGGCGCTCATTTGACCTTATGCTGTTGCGAGCGCCGTAAAACCTTACTCAAACAAGCAAACAAGATCATTTACACCAACAGAATTTATATAATTTAGGTCATTTACATCAACAGGGTTTCTCCGGTTTTTCCGCTTTTAAAAAAAAATCTGTTGGAAGAGGGGAAATGTAAGAGAGAATATGTTTTTGTTTGCTCATTTAAAAGCTTTACAAGGTTCGGTGTAGGTGAGATGTGATGCTCCGCTCATTTTCAGGTTTAAAAAAAATCATTTGGCATTCCTGCATCGACAAAATTTAGGAGGCAGGCTCCGACCCTGCCTATAAGATAACTATAGGCCTAAGGATTAACCCAGACTGAGAGAGACACCTGCAAATTGATAGGGACCCCTCAAGGATACATCGTTTTGTCGCCAGTTTTGTTTACGATGCACCCAAACCATTGCTAAAGTAACAATACTAGCATCAATGAGTGAACGGTTCGACCGTACTAACGCTCATTCAGGCTGACCATGACAAAACTGCTTCAAATTTTTTTATTAAACTTCTCTGAGTGGTGTGAAACTCATAATCTCCTCTTCGAAATATAAAAAAAAGACCCCGAAAGAACTTGTTGCCGACTTTAGGAAAGAAATTCCCCACTGCAGCCACTCCAGATTAACAATGAAAACGTCGAGAAAGTGTTACACTATACGAGTAAATACAGTCAAACGACTTAAACCTCGTCCTGAGTATATCTCTTCCCTCAACCAGTCTACATCAACATGTATATATATATATATATATATATATTATATATATAATATATATATGCCCGTCCCAAGAAAGGCGGTATAACGAGGTTTGACTGTATTTGGGTGTTACCATAGACAGCAAATTTGACTGTTATATTTTATCTGCACTGCTCTCTTGAATAAAATGGTGAACAAGAGGCTTTTTTTTATTTTGAGGAAATCCATATTATTTTAACGCTGAAAAATTATTTCTGTCCATAGTCTATCATTTAACCAATCATAGAAAATATGACTGATTTCTGTATATTATTATATTATATAGCTAGGGCAGGAAACAGGGCATCAAGACAAATTATGAATAAAATTGAACCGGATCATGTTTGATTAATAATGCCGGAAGCATGTCAAATTTCAACCTCTACATTCCCTCATTTGCGCTAGATAAAAATGCCTTCCTCCATTATAGACCACAAACATCCTTTGTTCGGTCAAATTACATTACTATTTTTAATAAGAATTAAAAGACCCGTGCATCTGATTTGTAACAAAGACAACCACCCCCCCCCCCAAAAAAAAGAAGACAGAAGTTCATTTTTACCATCATTCACTAAACTCACACATCTTAATCTTCATGTAGATTAGCTCTAATATATAAGTGCTCCTGTGACCACTGGGGCAAGTATTATATATAAATATCAGAGTATCATTGGGCTGCTATCAGAATGTCAATTGTGTGTCTAGCTTAGCACTATTATTATACATGTAGTTGGCAATGGTTGTTAATTTATATTATATTAATAATAAATATAATAAGCGTGTGACTGAGTCTATGATGAGTGTAAGTATTCTGCTATATTCTATAGTATGTGTGTGGAAGAGAGGGATGTTTCCTGTTTCCCTCTTTGTAATGTTTTATTTTGTTGGTGTGTTAATTTTTAATTTTTGTATTTTTCTGATGTGTTGTTTTTCCATTTTTGTGTGTGTTTAAATAGCGTGTAATGTTCTTCCTACCTTAAAAAATGTGTTATAGTTATGTTACAGCGTGTCTCCACCAAAAACGAATACTGACACTAGCAGGCTCCGTGTGTGTGATTCCATGATCTACATGTTAGATCCTGTGCTTTTTCTTGAATTATACGCGTTTAGGGTTAAAACGGCCAGTCTATGGGTGGGTTGACGCACGCCCTTATTTGTGAATTTTTGTGGTTGTTTATTCGCTGTTCTAATTTTGATTTCATTCTGTTGTGAAACCTTTATTTTTCACGTTTTTACACTCTGTGTGTGGGTGGTTGGCGGGTGCTCTGGCGTGGTTTGCTTCTTCTTTCCTATGAAACATCTATCGTCCTTATCTCCCCTTCTTCTTTTTTATGTTTGTCACTCTCTTGTAACACCTCTAATCTTCTGGCGCTCATATGACCTTATGCAGTTGCGAGCGCCGTAAAACGTCTACTACTAAAACTAAACACTCTGTGTGGCTGCAAATAGAGCAAATGATAATTCTGGATTCTTAAAACAGAGTACAAGAAATTCTGGTGTTTTAGATGAAGTTATCTCTATCAACATAGATCTATACGTCGTCACAGAGCGTTGAACGTTAAAGCTTGAAAATTAATGGCAACTTTTTGGGCAACTTTTGCCATTTTTGTGGCAACTTTTGGACCAAAAAAATGGCAACAAACGCAGATGCTAGCATTACGCTATAGATAGATCTATCAGTGTCGCCACTTGTATATCTAGATCTAGATATAGTATCATAAAAGTTGCACAACATTCTAAAGACAATCGAAATTGTCAAAGACGGTTGCTCATTGTCGAAGAGAAAAGCGGTTTTCTTAGTATGTTATTCTTAATAGGTGAACGTCTTACATTATGTCCTTACTAATCGCACCGAGTGCAATGGGAAGTGGCCACTACTTATCTAC